CCCCCCCCCCCCGTTAGAAATACGACATACGAGGATATAAGTAAAAACATAGATCCAGAGTGTTTATACATCAGCAGCGTGTATGGGAAGGTGTATCCGTCTGTATTCACTTTAATTCAGGGGCATCGGCAGCAAAAACAGCTGCATTATAGATCATGCGTTGAGCATAGGCAGTGTTTTAGTGTATAAGGGTTTACTAGGGCTTGGGATGGTTTCCCTCCAGAACCTTCTCTTTACATAAGGTTGGAAGGGGAGGCAACCCAGTTTCAGCCCAGGAGGCTGGGATCCCGATGCAGCGGTGTGTGTGTGTGTGTATATATGTATGTGTGTGTGTGTGTGTGTGTGTGTGTGCACCTTCAAGTTGCCTGTCGACTTATGGCGACCCCATGAATTCCAGAGTTTTCTTGGACAAGAGATTTTTTTTCTACTTCCCTCCTCTGAAACACAGGCTACAACACCTGGTCCCGGTGGGCGGTCTCCCATCCAAGTCCTAAACAGACCTCACCCTGCTTAGCATCCAAGATCAGAGGGGATCTGGTGCCAAAGAAGCCGCCTCCCCTATAGTTTCCAAACCTCCATCCGAGGCGAAGTCCCCCTCCCTTCCTTTCTCTGCACCACCTCCGAGGCAATGAATGGGAGCTGAACCAGAATTCTCCCTCAGCCCTCCTCCTTGTAAACAGGGGGCTGCACAGCTTGCAAACGTGTAGTAGGAGGTGGTTCCGTTGTGACACAATCAGCAGATCGCCCAACGAAACCAGGATCGGTGCTTAATGTAAATCGTCATTTTTTAAATATATATATATATATATATATATATATCCGGATTATACTGGCGCTACCTTATTTGGGGAGGAATAATGAATTTCCTATTAATATTCTCTTTGCAGCGTAAACGCCAACTCCCAATTGCAAGAACCTGAACTCTCCCGAAAACCTGAGATGCATCTACACAGTAGAAATAGGGCAGTTTGACACCGCTTGAAGTGCTGTAGCTCCCCTCCTATGGAATCCCGGGGATTTATAGTTTTACAAGGTTTTTCACCTTCTCTGACAACACGTGCTGGTGCCACACTATGAATCCCAAGATTCTGTAGGCTGAGGCCATGGCGGCTAAAGTGGTGTCTGGCTGCATTATTTCTGCAACGTAGATGCATCCTTGTGAGTGTGTATAGTTTCTGAGGGGGAAAAAAATAAATACATTCCCGAGTTCTTTCAGTCACTTACTCCGAAGTGAAGGTGCTTAGAGTTAAGGATCAGTTGTATTGTATTGTATTGACTTTGGGGGGGATCTTGTGAGATGAAGACGGGATAGCTAGGGCTTCCCCGAAGCGTTGCTTTCCATAAGAACCAGTAAAGAAATCAATTGAAATTCTCCCAGAGGAAGAAGGCGAGGAGCAGGAGAAGTACCGTAAGTGACCCTGGGAAGAGGAAGAGGAAGAGGAAGAGGAAGAGGTCAATATTAATGGTACTTAGAGTGAGAGAGTCAACGTGGTATATAGTGAGTTATCTTGGGAGCCGCCTTAGGTCCTTTTCTGGGAGAAAGGCTGCATAAAAATGAAATGAATAAGGAGTAGTTTGAGCGTTAGTCTAAGGGGGGTTGCAGACTGCTAGAAATAGTGCAAATTGAGTCCGCTTTTAGGGTTAGGGTTAGTGCTAGTCAATCATGGGAATTGTTTTTTTTCTGAGACATTGAGCCTTCTCTGTCAGAGAGCTCTGGTGTTACAATAAAATACAGTTGCCATGATTCCCTAACCCTAAAAGTGGACTCAATTTGCACTATTTCTGGCAGTCTGCAACCCCCCTAGGTCTCTGGAGTTGAAATCCTTGCCCGGCAGTGAAAAACCCACTAGGTGT